GATAAGGTATGATTGAGTAAACTTTGTTAAAGCCGAGTAGCTTACGCTGATTTCCGGATCTCGCGGCGATTCGCGGAGGATATACCGGAATGGGAATAAGAAAGGGAAGAAGAAGTTGAAACGGTCCCCCATTAGCGTTATTTCCTTGAGAAAGTGACGTGGATGAAGACCTTCTGGTGGTCTTATAATCACAAGCATTCATCGAGGGATTAGCAGAGAGCTTCCAGGGGCCAAGGTAAGTGGAAGCCTGATTTGTAAAAGCATGGATTCCAGAGTAGTTGTTTGAAGGAGAAGGTAACGCTGATAAATCACTGGTCGGTAAATGAACATCCGCGCAACGATCATTGGTGTCTGAGATAATTTGGCGTCGCTAAAAATGGATAAAAAAATTTAAGCAGATGCTTCTAAGACGAGATACATTAGCCTGAATTAACATACCTGGTTTCTACCAACTCTCGGCTGGCGAACGAATTTACGGAACTTATTGGGGCACTCGGTGCGTGGTAAACTAGCGGATAAACAGTTATTCAACTTCGACCTTTCTACACCTTGAATATTTTCCTTGTCATCTGGTGGTACTGTTAGACCAATAAATCACACCTGAACCTTTGCCCGATACGTTGCCTTCTTGGCGCACAAAGGGGAACGAATCAGTAAAACCAATCTTTTTTTCAAATACATATTCGATGCTCGTCTGTTCCCATTTTTTTCTGATACCTCCACTGCAGGTTATACTCTTCTTGCTTTTTTCATTATATCCATTTGATTTTGGTTCCGAGAGGAAGACCTAAATGCTTACATTAAAAGACTAGAATAAGACCTGAGAAAATGGCTTTGACTTATGGTGAATATCTTTCGATTCATGAATAGTACTAGCTTGGGAAGCGCCCGTAGTAAAACCCTGTAGTGAAGGCCAATTCTTATCATCGTTGGGAGGATTTCTTGTTGAAGAAGCGGAGATGGGTCCTAGGACTATTTAATTTAAAGGTGATGTGCCTACGCCGCTTCCAAGGATTTATCGAA